GGGCGTTGGGGTAGAAGCAACCCCGGCTTCTCTTTTTCGGGCTGAAGGCCTGCCCGCTCAGACCAGTGATGAAGCAGGTCGCGCACAGCATGATGCCGGAGAATTCGTTCAGGGCCAGCCACACAAAGACCGGCATGGTATGAGCAGCCCATTGCATTTGGGGCACCACTCATCGGCAGCAGCCTCTGCAATGCATAACCGATGGCGGAGCTCGGCAAGGAAAACTGCACTGTCCATATGTTTGCGGCCAGAAGGAGCAGCAGCGAGGAACGCCCGTGCCCCAGGCTCCGCTTCGGAACGCAGAGTGGCGCAGGGAGTGAGGCTCGAAGCTTGGAGTTGCTGATCCCAGCTATGGGTGTCAAGCCCAGTGGTCAGAGATTTTTGGCTTTGGGCGAAGGCAACGGGGCCAGCTGGCTGGCTTGGGTCAACATCCATAGGTCATAGGTGCTGAAGGGGGGGCTGCCTGGCGAGGGGAGCAGCTTCGGGCCCGCATCGGGCGTCCCAAGCCAACCGGAGTGCCGGGAGATAGGGCCATGGCTCAAGGATTCAGTGATGGGATAAAAAAAAGTGATTCCCAACTCGCAAAAAAGAACCTTGCGAGGTCTCATGTTACAATTTGCTTCCTGTATTTTCTACATCAAGAACTTTCTCTGTGATTCCTGCGCTGCGCTTGACATGTAATTAGTTATCTTTGCATGTAAACTTGATGGCACGGAAAATTCATTGGCAGAATTTTCAATTTGTAGATTTCAGGAAATCTTGATCAACTTCATTCAAGAATGCTGTCACTGAGCCAGACAACAAGACTGGCTCGTTTCATCCTATAAATTTCTGCCGTTAGAACGGAGAAAAAAACATGACGTCAGCGTTGCGACAAAACCATATGCCAAAGTGCCATGAATTTCAAACGCCGCATGGTCGGATGGATGTCACCTGCCGCCGGTGCAATAGCCAATGGACATATGAGGTTGTGGCATTCGGCAAAAACATGCAAAAAACACGACTTCAAAAAGACTCTGGAGTTCAATCTGAAGTATGACTCTTTGGTTTCCAAAATAGAAGGACACAACCAATTCACTTTGGTCTGGGGCAAGATCAACAAATTCAGGAAGCATCTGGGCAGATGTCAAGTCCGAGGTCAAAAAACCTGCCGTTGCACACACCTGACGCCTAGACCCGTCCGGTTTTTCATTGGGGGAAACAAACTGGTAGCTTCACATGCCTTCGCCATGGCTGGTCTCATGTTGAAGCTCCTGCGCTTTTGGACAGCAAGGAGCAAGTTGTTTCAAACATTTTCAAACATGTTTCAAACATCATGAATCATCTACAACAGCGTAGCAAAACACATCTTGAAGACTTTGAAGTGCACCATGCCTTACACATGTTTACAGCTCCAACTGCTGTTTCAACTGCTGTTTCAACTGCTGTTTCAACTGCTTCAAACGGTCCTGGCTGCCCCAGTATCTGGCCCATTGGTAGCCTCCAGCGCCGCCCAGCAACGCTGCTAGAGCCAGGCCTGGCACCACCAGCGGTGAAGCCGCCACACCCAAGGCTCCGCCAAACGCAGCGCCGACCTGGGCGGGTTGGTCGAACATGAAATGAACATCAAATGAACATGAAAATCATGAAATGAACATGAAATGAATGAAATGAACATGTAGAATTCAGATGAATGCATGATTCAAATATCCTCCAAGATCTTCAGATAGCATTAAGAATTGTTGGAACGCACATGTGCATAAATTATGATGCAGCGATTGCAATTGTCGGCGAATTCTTGATTCTATGCTGTGACTTCATGTGAAGCTTGAAACTACAAGTTGACATGATGATCCTGGGCTGCGTTCTTAGGGTGGTAAGGTTAACGAATGAAGTTCAGGAACGGGGGGCGAAGTTGTGCGATATTGGCTGTGGGACACTGCAGAAATTGCTCTGCATGCATCCTGAGTCTCTCACAGCACCCAGCTTGTAACTTCTCCATGAACTCCTTTCCTGCCAAAGAATCTCGTTCTGTTGCAATGTTGAACCGAGTACATTACCTACACTTCCATGTCCAGCCACTTTACCGATCAAACTAAGTCTCTTGGGGCCTGAGGATCTTGTCATCGCATTTTACAGCACTGCCAGAGTACTCTGTCCCTATGCCCGTGCTAGCTACTGAGATTATCTGTTTTCTACATATCGTAGCCGAGGAGATTAACATAGACTAAACGTCAAATTCATTTAAATACATTCAAATCCATTCAAATTCCATTATCAATAAGCCCAGCATAGCCCAGCTGCAGGCAGATTCAAACAGGTCCTTGATGTACTCGGAGAAGTCTGACTCAAACTTTTCTTCAATGGTAGTGACTGTGTGCTCGTGCCCACTATGAGCTTTACCTGAGCAGCGGCTTGACTAAGGCGGCTAAGTGGCTAAGGGAAGCGTGTGGGCCAAACCTTAAACAACTCCCTACCGCCTGCGGGCTATGGCCTGAAACAAAATGGGCCTTGACTTCAG